TTTGGCGGGTCCGGGCTGGGGATTCGAACCCGCCACCTTAGGTGTATGTGGCTGGCGCCTTAGCCGGTTGAGCTATAGGTGCTGAGCCAAGATGCTTTTCTTAATGATGACCAAATAAATAGAACTAGCATGTGTCAACTGGTTCTTAAATTAGAACCGTTACACTTTTTTTTTTTTTTTTGAGACAGTGTCTCACTAGGTCACCCTTAGTAGAGTGCTATGGCGTCACAGCTCACAACAACTTCAAACTCTTGGGTTCAAATGATTCTCTTGCCTCAGCTTCCTGAGTAGCTGGGACTACTGGCGCCTGCCACAACGCCTGGCTATTTTGTTGTTGTTGCAGTTGTCCTTGTTTAGCTGGCCTGGGCTGGGTTTGAACCTTCCAGCTTTGGTCTATGTGGACAGCACCCTACCCTTTGAGCAACAGGTTCTGCCGTAGAACCATTACACTTTTTAAAAATGTGATTTTAAGCCTTTAAACAAGTGAGGCATAAAAGTCCAAAATTTCATATGTACCTATAGTATAAGTTTAATGTTTTAATTTTATTACAAAAACTACAATGGGCTTGGTGCCTGTAGCTCAGTGGCTAGGGTGCTAGCCACATACACCAGGGCTGGTGGGTCTGAACCTGGCTGGGACCTACCAAACAACAATGACAACAATAACAACAACAAACTAGCTGGGCGTTGTGGCAGGCGCCTGTAGTCCCAGCTACTCAGGAAGTGTATCCCTTAAGCCTGAGAGTTTGAGATTGTTGTGAGCTGTGACACCACAGCACTCTATTGAGGGCGACACAGTGAGACTCTGTCTCAAAACAAACAAACAAAAACTACAATGGACAAATATTTTACTTCTGTGAACATGATTATCAACATTACTTACGTTTCTCCATTAATGTGCTTATCTGCTCACTAGTATGTATAGATAATTTAATTCTAATTAATGAAGCATTTACTGAATATTGGCTATGAGCACCAGGCGTTGTGTTAAGCAGTGAGGATACAGTATTAGAGTAAAGCCAGTTTTATTCCAGTGAGTACTGGGTGGAACTGGAACTGTGTGAGGACCCTTCAACCACAACCCCACCAGACTGGAGGGATTTATACTTGGGTTTTCTTTTTGGAATTCAGAGAAGGATGGTCCCAGCTCTTTAGGGGAAGACATTTTGGAAGGAAGGGATGGTCTCTGAAGTTTGAAGGGCTCCATGGAGGATGGCGTGTGAACTAATTTCAAAGCATGAGCAGCGGTTAGCTTGGTGTCCACACAGGGAAGGGTGTGTCTGACGTGAGCAGTGGCAAATCAGGAAGGCCTGAGGGCAGGTGCCCTGGGAGGACAGGTGCCCTGGGAGGACAGCCGGCCATTTAGTGTAGCCAGCTCTGATGGGCCCAGGGCACATGGAAAGGCAAGTGGGGAAAGTTGGCCAAACTATGAGGCACTTTCCATGATGTTTTAAGGAACTTAACTCTTGGGAAAGAGATGGCGGGAATAACAAGGCTGCTGGAGGATCAGTGCTGGTTTTCCAGCTGTTTCTATGAGAGTGGCTTTAATGCACGCTAAATAAGGCCACTGACGCTTACTTAGTGCGTGGAGGCCCCCAGCTGCTCTTCTTAACACCCTTCCTGGCCCCAGACACCCCTGTGCTGCCGTCAGGGAGCCTGCTGGAAGAGTTGGAGGGGTTTGTGATGGGCTGAAAGCCTTAACAGTGGCCACTGAAGTAGGTGTGAAAAGAAAGAGGACATATTAGGATAGAGAAAACCCTGTGATTTCACAGCCTATCTGTTGACTTATAACATATTTATGAGCTTCAGGGAGAATCTCAGCCCCTGTAGTTCCTGTGCTTATGGGACTTTTTCATTGCTGTATACTATATAGAACAGTTGGACTGTGCAGCGTATTTAGTTTATACATAACCGTGTTTCCCATCGAATAAACAACCCCTGTGTGTGAACGTAGCTGGCATAATCCTCACGACAGGGCTTTGCTGTACACAGAAGAGACTAAGTGTTTGCAGAACAAATAAGAAGAATATTATTTGAAGTATGATAGTCGTGGAGTTGTAGGACAAAATTGTTTAATTGAAACCTAAGTGTGTTTAAATTTTGATTGACACATGATTCAGAGATAAAGTCAACAAAGCTGATATCTTTTAAGAAGCAGCTATTACAGCATAGAGCTATTACAGCATAGAGCTATTATAGCATAGAGCTATTACAGCATAGCAGGTGCTTAGGCACACAGATTCTGGAGTCAGACTTAACTGGGTCTGAAGTCTGACTTGTTACTTACACTAGCTGTGTGCCTTAGCTTACTTGTTTGTAAGATGGGGATAATCATTGTGCCCACCAAGAAGGTGCTGTGAGAACTACATAGATTGGGTGTGAGAAGGTTAAGTACCACACGTACTTTCAGTGTGTTCTCTGTAGAACTCCATGGGTCTGTATTCATTCATAAGTGTATTTTCCAACACAGTAAACTTCTTTTTTATTTTTTTTTAGACAGAGTCTCACTTTGTTACCCTCAGTAGAGTGCAGTGGCGTCACAGCTCACAGCAACCTCAAACTCTTGGGCTCAAGTGATTGTCTTGCCTTAGCCTCCTGAGTAGATGGGACTACAGGTGCCACCACGGTGCCTGGCTATTTTTAGAGATGAGGTCTTGCTCTGGCTCAGGCTGGTCTCCAACCTGTGAGCTCAGGCAGTCAACCTGCCTTGGCTTCCTGAGTGAGCCACAGCACCTGGCCTACACAGTCAACTTTTAAAAACACTGAAGAATGTCCCATCTTTCATTTAACTATTTCTACTTTCACAGAACTCACGGATACACTTTACATTTGAGAAATAATCATCTCAGTCTGTTGTTTTGATCTCTTTTTTTTACGTACTCATCCTGCTGAACCAGGCTCAGGTCCTATAAATATCTAACACAGTTCTTTTATTCTTACTAACAGGTACTGATGGAAGCCCAGAGAAGCTCTTTCTTAATCAGGGCTGGTAAGCCCATTTTAACTTGACAAATGAACTAGCTAGAATCATATTCTGCAATTCTTCAAACATTAATTTTTAAGTGTTCTGAAAGCCAGTCTTCTTGTGTCTATATATTTTATAACTTGAATATTAGCAAAATCTTTATTATCATCCATTTCTTTAACTCTTTAATGTATAGAAATGTTGAAACATACTACATTTTGAAAATGAAAGTGACATTGAAATGGGAATATTCTAGTCCGTCACTTTGTACAGATAGGGAAAGAGGCCCAAATCGGAGACTTAGGAAATTCGAGTGAAAGTTTGAAGTCTTGCTTTAATTTATTGTTCCCTGGTCAAAACCCATTACAACAGAAATCTCTGTAAATCAAAAGGATTTCTGCTCCTTAGCCACTGCCCTACTAATTTTGAGTATTATTCAATATGAAATAATTCCAGAACTAAAAAATAATTGGAACAGGCTCTTAAAGTTGATTATAAATGGGTTGACCTGCATGAAAGCCATAGTCTAGAAGAGTGATCTATCATTTTTCAGCTGTAACTTCCTTTACTTGTTTTCTAATAAAATACAATGTTAATTTAAGCTTATTAAATTCACCTGAATTATGGTTCACTCATGTTTGTAATTAGAGGTAATTTTTCTCTATCAGAAGTTTTTCTTAATTTCCTATAACAGTTGCTTTTATGTATTAAAAAGGGCAGTGGAGTAAGAGTTATGAAACTCTAATCATACATAGCTCTGCCCTTCACTGTGTGACCTTGAGCAAATCCGTAAAGCTCTCCAGATCTCAGTCTCTTCCTGGTTAAAACAAGGAACTAAAATTAAATAATCTGTTCAGTTCTTAAATTCTATGAATTTCTAAACTGTCACTTGTTTTTGCTTTTGGCTTTGGGTTAACCAGATCTTAAAATGCAATGCTAATTAATGCAGGGAACTTACAGAAGAGTCTGTTGGATTGTGGGAGGAGGACACGGGTATTTTTCCTGTTTGGACATTAGCATTCCTTGCCTCTGGACTAAAGCTTTATCTGAGAGGGATAGGAAACACAATTTTATACATAGTTTTAATGCGACATAAAAATTCAGCGTAATTGTACCTTAGACCTAGATATCATTGGTAGCTGTTAGCCAAGCGAGGGTGAAATAAATAAAATTTGTCTAAATAGTTGCCCAGGTAAGTTACATTTTTCTCAAACATCATAATAAGACGTACTAGCGGTTGTGATTGGTACTCGACCTCAGTGGTGTATTTAATAGGCTTCATGAATTGAAGAGCCACATGGCTGTTGTGTTGTGTGTGTTGTAAAGAGAGCATTCTAATATGGAAATTAGACATCTTAGAGAGATTTTGCAAACGGTGTTTAA